GCAGCCATGGTTCCTTCCGAAGGTTAGAGTGCCAGGACGCTTTCCCATACCTCCTTTACAATCTTTGTAATCTGTTTTTAAAATATTTGGTGGGAAAAATAAATTTAAAATATAGCCTTAAAGCTTATTTTAGATGATTCTTGTAGATCGGTTGATAATCTGTAAGTTTGGTCCAAATTGCCACATATGATCCATCTCCCATCTTTCATACTCTTAGCTTTTGGGTCCTTTTAAAATGTGATAAATGCATCAGGTGCTATTTCATTCTAAGTTCTCTTTGACCTGACCTTGTAGAAGTGCTATTCTCTGTTTCTCTATTTTATCTCTAATTGGAGGTGTATACGTGTAGTGTTTTTGTTGTTGCTGTTTTTTACTTTTTCAGTTCATATAATTTGGAGAATGTCTATTTTGATGTCTTACGAGTTCATTTGTGACTAGCAGTTTTCCAAATATTGGATTGCTTAGTGCTTTTAGCTGTGAAGTAGTCCTCCCCACCCCACCCCGGAGTTGAACACAGGGCAATCCCATTAGCCACATCCCTAGTCTTTTTATTTATGTATTTATTTTTTAGATTTTGAGATAGGGTCTTGCTGAGTTGTCTTGCCTAGGCTCAGACTTGCAGTCTTCTTCCTAAAGTGCTGGGATTACAGTGTAGCGTCCCCGCATCTGGCTTGGGAGAGCTGAAAGATGTACAATATCAGTATTTCAATCTAGAAAATGCTTGGTTGATTAAGACCTGTGATCTGTGCCTACTGTCATGTTATTGACTGTCATCTCCAAGTTGGGCATTATTCATTGTGTTTTTACATTTGACATTGATATTTTTGTCAGATTGCCTTTTATACTGTGGGTTGGCAGTAAATCCCTAATGGTGGTACCTTGGCTCACTGTCAAAAAAGGGAAGAGGATTTTAAAATGAATTTTATCTAGTTTTTCCTAATTGAAAAGCAGCACATGCTATTTAAGAATCCCCTAAAAAATAACAAAGGGCAAAATGACTTAAGGATTCTGCCACTCAAATAATAGTTGTTAGTATTCTGTTGTTTATCTTTTCAGTGTTTTTATCAACATATATTTAATATATCCATATACATGGATGTATATGATGCATGTCTTTATATATTTTTATGTACATATACTTACTTTTATACAAATACATCATTCTGTGTATTTAGTTTCATACTAAGAAATCCCGAATTAGTGTTGCATTTTTGATCATGGAAATTCAACTGCAAAATTTTTTTAGAAGACAAAAGAAAATTCAAAGTGAAAGAGAGTATTTTTGGTCTAGCTACTATTAAGACAGAAATCATATTTATTTTTGTCCGCTTATTTTTGATTTTTCTCAGGAGGGCTATATAATGTAATTTCTTTTTCAGGGCAGGTAGGTTTGGTTTGTTCACAGTGAATTGTGGGAGTGAGGTACAGAGGGGAGTTTTCAGGAAGCTGGTGCTTGAAAATCTCTACACTTACCATGATGTAAGTGTTCAGATGACACCCCTCCCTGCTGAAATTTAAACTTAAACTTGAGAAGTAGGAGAAACTTTAAAAATAAAATGAATGTCTTCTCTTTTACCAGTCAGCAGTTAGGGCTGTTAGGCAATTTATACCTATCTAAGGTGCTAGACACTATTCATGAATATAGAAAACGTCTCTGGAAGTGTATAGAAACTACGTCTTCTGCAGCTATTACTGATTCCTTTTTCAGTAGCGCTGGCCAAGGATCAGTGAAGTTTTCTGGACATAGTTAACATATAGAATAAAATACATACCATAGCTGTTGCAGCATATGGATTGAACTGAAGCAATCAGTGAGCCTTCTACATTTTGAGTATAATAGTGTACAGGAGACTCAGGCTACCTGAATGGGTACACTGATCTGTCAGGTGACCTAATGTAATGGTTATGCTAGGAACCCTTCTTTGAAGCTACAGCTCTTCTCCTACACCATTCTGGGCTTTTCCTCTTGGGGGTCATAAGTTCTTTTGGGTGATGGTGGCCTTTTTCATCCTCTTTCCCTGCAGAGCAGCTGTCTCCATGTCCCGTAGTTCGTTCTCCCATGTGTCATCTGGCCTGTATTTTCCTTTCTGTACACCTCTCCAGGAGGTCTGGAAAAGTGATTGGGTTTTGGTTTGACAAAGGGAAGTCAAATAAATGTTGTATTAAAAAGGTAGAAAAATGCAGATTTTTGTAGTAGTTGTATCAAAAAGAAAGGTGAATCCTGTGAAGGAAGAATTCTTTCTCCATTATTATCTATACTTTAAACTTTTTTTTACTCAAATTCCATAAGTGAAAAATATCCCATGTCAAGATAATGTTTAAAGATATTTTTATGCTGTGTTTTAAGTTAGGCATATCATCTTTGTGTTTTTAGATTTAGTTTCATAAAGGATTATGTTAGTATAGAGAAGCATTTAAAAAGGAAAAAGATACTTAAACAGAAGTTTCTATGTACCCTAGGAAGAATTTGAAATGGAGCTTACCCCACCCTCCAGTAATTAGCTAGAAATGACCTATAGTTTTGGGGGACTGTAATAGTTTACACCTGTTTCAACTTTTGCTATTTTTACTGGCGGTGGCTTTTGCCATCCCATATTTCTTGTGAGGCAAAAATGTGAAATAAAATATGCCAAGCACTGGGGAAATTATAATAAACATAAAAAATAAATTATACAGCTTAAAATATGAAATGCTTTACTTGCACATTTAGCCAGCCATGTTTCAGTAGTATTGAAATAACTTATTCTTGGAGTTCTGTGTCGTGAAAATAAAGACAATTGCTTTCATTGGCAGGAATAATCTGAGGCTTTTTATACTTGAATGAATAAACTTTGGAACAGTAGACAAAAATGATACTGTAAAGATACTGTTAAAAAACCTGCTAAATCATCCTGTGTGTTCATGTTATTGTAGAATAAAGGAGGTGAGGGAGTATTATTTATACAAAATTCAAAGACTCAATGGAGCTGTTTTACTACAGATTATAATCAGAATTCAAAAGTCGAGGAATACATGACATAGTTGTAAAGTATAGGTTGGCTTATTTCACAGGCAACATTTTGCCATCCAAACATAATGAAAAGGAAACGACTTGAGTCAAGATATTAGCATCCCTCATGTTTATTTTATTTTGTTCATTTTTGGTGCAATCCAATTCTCTAAAAATCCTTAATGTACCCTTTATTCTTCAGGTCGAACAGTAGCTGCCCACCCCTCCTATTGGATTGAAAGTAAAGTGACTAGGTTTTTAGTTCATTGTCCAGAATGAGAATAGCTAAACCAAATGTATAATAAGTTTAATTTGGGTTGAGTTGTGATTCTGAAGAGCTCGTCGGGAAAGTTGTGAGAACTGAATTTTAATTTTGGCTTTATTTCACTAGTTGGGTGGCTTTGAATGTCACACAGGTCAGGACTGTGTAATCTGAATGAAGATCAGGACTTGCATATTTCTGTTCATTGATATAGGACCTGTATTTGTGGAACAAAAGAGTAAACTATTCTTTTGTGATCTTTAAAAATTAGCATTTTATTTAATTTTTTTAAAATGTAATTGCAAGCTTAAGAAATACGATTTTTTTTTGTCTTTTTCCTTTTAACGGTACCGAGGATCGAACTCACGACTGCCTGCTTGCAAGGCAGGCACTTATGCTGCTGAGCTAAATCCCCAGCCCCAAGAAATATGATTATTTGCAAGCTAAAATAACAGAAAACTAAGTTTCAGTAATCCTGACTGTAGCATTCACCTAGGAGCTAATATGGGGGCCATTTTATATGCGGGAGATGAGTGTTGACAGCAACAGCAAAAGCCCTGTCTTGACCTCCCAGGAATGGGTTTGTTGGGTTTCTGGAGGTTTGGCTTCTCAACCTTGGGCTTCTTTGTGACATTGTAATAATTCACATAAACCCCTAGTTGGCAGAGATAATTTGTTTGAACTTTAGCTTCATTACTTAACATGATTTATAGTAGGTACTTGTCACAACTTACAAAACAACAATATGATTATGAGATTAATTTGCCACAGTTCTTGGATATTAATGACTTTAACCAGTGGGGTGAACATACACATGCACACACACATATATGTATGCACACGTCTGTGGTGCTGTTGCTTGGCAAGTGTTGGGGTTACCATGGTCTTCTAGACTTCATTTTCCAGGGGTTCTTTCTTGAGCTCTCTTTCTTTGCCTTTGCCGGGGTATCTTCTCCAATTAACTACTGTTGCACCCTCCACCTAAATCAGTGTCCTGTTGTCCTTGAAATGATGCAGTCTGAAACTATTGCATGCAAGATGCTGTTGGTTCTTTGTCTCATCTCTCCTTATAGCTAAGTTCTATTTCCCTTACCACAAATGAATTAATCTGTGCAGTCACAAGATTTTTTTGAACATAGGAAGAAAACTGTTTTTTTGTGTGTGTATTTTTAAGCTACTATTTTGATACAGAAATGATGTTCAAATATTACAATCTTTTAAGGTCACTTGAGATTTATTGTTGGCTATGACTTTCACCATGATTGGTATCTAATTCTCATCATTTTATTTCTTTGTGTGAATGAAAGAGTGCATTAGGTGGTATAGGCTATCATTGCAAAAAGCAGAACCGACCCTGAATCCTGACCTGTTGAATCACCTGTTGACAAGACAGCCTTGTGTCTGGGATTGCTTACAGATGGAAAGTGCAGGGAGCACTGAAGCTGATCACTTTGATCGTTGTATTTATTCGTATCGTTCTTTCACTATGAAGCATGAGCTCCCTTTTATCTTCATGTGGAAATAGAGAACCATACATCTTTCAGAGTCTTTACATAACCTAAAGATGTGTATTTGATTGAAATTAGTGTATTATTCTTTATTGAGTTTGGTTTCCAGATGATGTGCTGAGCTTTGGGGGAGCAAGGGTGGCTTCTTGTTTACCTTCATGTTCTCATACATGATACTTGAGTTTTTTGAATACATCATTTGAAAAGAAACTATTTTAATTACATACATTTTTATTTACAGCTGCAGCTGAAGGAAAAGGCAGAAGTGGGGAAGACTTTTTTCAAAAGGTAAGTGTGTTTTACTGTTGCCTTGAGTGAAAATAAGTTGGAAAGTATCGAACTTTTGACAACTGCACCAGAGGTCTCTGAGAGCTCCCTGTGCATATGAAAAACAGGTTTTGATTATTTAACTGAAAGTAGTCAAGCAAAGAAAGGTAGAGATGTTCCACAGCCCTGTCCATTTTAAGAAAGTTCCTTCCAGGCAAATGTAAGGAACGTTTTGTTTGAAAACGAGGAAGGAGAGAAAGTGTCAGATTAGTTTCTTACATAGAAACCAGCACAGTACTTTCCTGACCATGTGCTTTTACTACTATCCTGTCTTTCCTCCTTTCCCCCAAAAATGCTTGACTTGGGAGGTGAAGAAGAATGCCTCACAGCTTTTCCTGTCTCTGGTGGGCATGATGATGAACAGGAAAGTATAATCAATAAAAGGTAAAATATTTTAAATTAACTAGAACATCAAGGCAGCTATGGCAGTGCATCTAAAGACATTCATGAAGGAGGATTTCCAGAACTGCTTCAGAAAGTACCAAGAATGATGGGATAAGTGTGTTTGAAATGAGGAAGAGTATTTTGTAGGGGATTAATGCCAGTGTGTCTTTTGCTGTAGTAATTTTTCTAGTTAAGGCAAAGACGCCCTTGAGACCTTCTTGTCCACAGTTGGTCACCATGCCCATTCTGTCCCTGCTGTCACCTGCAAGTCCTGACCATCATTGAGGGCAGTGGGGCAGCAAAGGGAAAGAGAAGCTGAAGCTGCCTGAAAAACACTAAGAAATTATGAAGGATTGTTCTGCTTCTCAAAATGAGTGTTTTGTGCAAAGGCAGATACCATCTTTTCAGAAAGATTGACTTTAATTCATAGTCTCTTTTCTTTTGTTCAGCTGGGTCTACTGTATTTATTTTCTCAGGGATCCAGAAGGCATGTATGGAGGAACAGCCATGTAGCTGTGCTGCAGGAAGGGAAGCTGTGGCTGTAGATGTGTTTAAAAGCTGCATGGGAGGGAGTCAGGGTTTCTGTCTAGATGTTTCCCCAAAGCCTAACAAGACCATAGGTGGGGATTTGAGGAGGTGATTGGATTATGAGAGTGGTGTAGGTGGCTTGCTGTTGGGAAACAGAGTCTGCCTGAGGGAGACAAGTCACTTTCTTTTGGACTTTTATAGGGACTGAAGCTAAAAGTTTGCCTTAAGTCTCAGTGGAGACTTTATACTTGGACCTTCAGCAATGCTGATACTGTTGGGACTTAAGCAACTCTTACAGATGAATTAAATGCAATTTGCATATTACAGCAATACATGTATAGTCATATTTATAGCAGTACAATTTAAAATAGCTAAATTTTGGAAACAGCCTATATGCCCATCAACAAACGAATGGAAAAAGAAAATTTGGTATTTATGCACAGTGGAGTGCTACTCTTCCATAAAGAAGGTTACACTTGAAGAATTCATAGGATAAATGAGTGTATTTTGAGCCCATAATATTAAGTTAAAGAAATGAGAAAAATAATTTTAAATGTCACATTGTTTCTCTTGAATGAGAAATCCAAAATGTAAATAAAGAGCAAAATAAAAGATAGATAATAGGAAGTAGAGTAATCTTTTTTCATATGGGAAGGGGACCAAGAGATGGAGCAGGGAGGCATTGGTGAGATAGAGGATGAAAAGAGGATTAAGATGTGTTATGTATATATACCAGCTCCCCACAATAAATGTAATTATGTACTGCACACACATACTAATAAAAATAGAAGATTCATTTAAAAACAAAAAGATGTGTGCGTGCATCTTTTAGAGGCCAGGAAAAGAATTTTATGGTTATATCTTCATATCCCCTAAGTCTCACATGGTTATAGGTGGGGCTTTTGGAAAGTGCCTAAATTATGGTGGTGGTGGTGGTGGTGGTGGTGTGTGTGTGTGTGTGTGTGTGTGGCTGACTTGTTGTGGAAGGTGGGGTCTAGATAGAGAACATTTAGACCCCGGGCACATGGCTCAGAAGGGCGCATCTCCTACGGCTCCTCTCTTCTTTCTCTGCTTCCTGTTTCCCATGCCACGAGCATCTCTCTTCCACCATGCTTTTCTGCCATGCCATCCTGCTTTGGAGCCAGCCAACTATTGACTGAAGTGTGAGCCAAAATAAATCTCTCCTTTCTTACATTATAGGTGTCAGATATTTTCCTCAGCAATGGGGGAAGTAGCTAAGACAGAGGTCGTCATTCCTTGGAAAACACCTGTGTGGAGCCCCAGATGGAATTTACAAGTTTCTCTCTCTTTCTTTGATCGTCGGTATTTCTCCATGTTTCCTTCCAAGGCAATTAAGGAGAGTATTCAAATATTATCAGAAGTGATACTTACATTACCATTTCTTTTCTTTTTTTTTTTTTTTTTGGTACCAAGGATGGAACTCATGACCTTGTGCTTCCCAGACAGGTGCTTACACCACTGAGCTAAATCCCCGGCCCACCATTTCTTCATTTTAGAAAAGCTTCTTTATACCCTCTATGTGTTACTCACACAGAACAACAATAATGAGCTAGACATAGTCCCTGCCTGGGATGAATATGTGCTGCTTGGTCATGTAGTCACATAAATGGAGAATCTGGGGCCAAAGAAGGATACACATTTGCCTGAGCTTTTAGGAAATTAGTAAGGGCTTCTTGAGTCTTTGAAAGAATAGAAGTTAGCCATGTGAAGAAGAAAGTTTGAGTAGCTAAGAAAAGACATTCTATGCAAAGACATAGAATATAGGAACGCTCAACATAGATGGGCTCATGGGATACTAATTTCAGACATTTGCTGGCCCAGGGGTTCATAGTGGTTCATAGTTCAGTTCATTTGCTGGCTTGTGAGGGGTTCATAGTGCCAGGTGAGAAATGCGGTGAAGTAGGTTTTTATGTGGAGATATCATTCCTAAAGGAATTTAAATTAAAATAATCAACAGTGCTAATGTCTTGCTGTAGAGATAGAATGTGCCAGACCACCAGTTTCTTACCCGTGTTTTAGGTCCATGCAGCTGAAGCTGTGGTTGGAGTCCCTGACATGATGTTTTTGGGAGTTGATTAGTACTCAGTTCACCACCTGGAGAGTGAATTGGGATGGGTTTGCCAACAAGGGTAAGAAAAGAGAAGGAAATGATTGGAATCTGCGATTTGGTTTTGATTAATCGTGGTAGTACAAATAGATCTTTGGAAGGATTTTTTTTCTTCATTTCTTTTATATGTACAGTTATTTTTTTTATTTTAAAGAGAAAAAGATAAAAATAATGAAATAGAGTTTCAAACAGGTTAGTAGGACAGTTGTAATAATTAGTACATTGTATATTGTTGTCTTTGTAGTAGTTATTCAGGGTACAAGGTATGGCATGATATCTTGGCCAAAGCACAAGCTTTTCTTTTTTCTTCATTGTTTTTTAACTTGAAAATGTAAAAAGCAGACTATTAAGCTCCATGTGAGTCAGACATTTTAAAAGCTGAATCAAAATATGATGTGTATGGTCACAAAGGGTTTTCATTCTTAGAAGATTTGCTAATATTTATCACCCTTTGTGGAGCCATATATACATTCCAGCAGTTTAAATGGAAACACATGTTTGAATCCAGGAACACATGTGCATCCCACAAACTCAAGCTGAAAATGTTAGATTCCATTTTTGGTCACAGGTTGAATGATATCTCCAAATAACTAACATGGAGTAATTTTTAATCTCCTCATTTTCTTTAGTACATAGAAAGTGTCTTTTTGATGGATAGGTGTCTATATAGCACTTGGATACGCATCCTGGAAAAAACTCACGACTTGGTAAAAGGCAAACACCTCACATTCCAGAAGAGTAATTTTCAACATTTTGATCAGACAGAAAATAAACATTATGGTTCATCTGCTGCAAAATGAAGGAGTGCAGGAGCATTGAGCTGACTCTTGGGAACTTTTGCATGAAATTGTTTGAAAATATTTGCATATAAGCTCCACTGATCCTCACTGGCATTTTTTGAGGAAATGCTTTTTTCCTTACAGATTAAGGCAGATGTTCTGAAGTGTCTCTATGCTTAATATTGGGATGCTTTTGCATTTGATTTGGGCATGTATATTAAATAAAAATTCAAACCTTTCTGTTGCAGGGTGTCAAGTACAATCAGCGTAGTCATTATAAAATCATTTTCCAAATGTCTAAGGTTCCTCTCTGCTTCATGGTGGCTCTCCCCGAGGTAGGGGTGAGAAGAGTGCGAAAGTTCTATGTGTTACCTTGTTTTTTGGTGCTATAATGTATACGTGAAATAATATCAGTACATTTATACTAATTGAATTATACAACATTCAATTGGTTATTCTTATTTAAGTTTTCAAATTAGAAAAGCTAAAATGTGTTGTTCAGAATAATAATTAGTATATAGTTTAAATTTGAGTTTAAGAGATAATATGAGTGTTGAATACACTGAATTGAAGCTATAATACCGATTGTTCAGTTTTCTATATACTGAACTCTCAAAGAATTAAAGTTACTGTTTCATCCAGGGCTGTCTCAGATTTTCTCCGCACTGTTTCACTGTGAGTTTGGAATGCTTTCACACAATTAGGGTAAAAGGCTAAGTAAGCTGCTAGAGCAGAGTTGCTAGAGAGCAGTGGCATAAAGAATGAATTCTTCCTCAAAAACTAAAACTAGAGATTCTGTTTGACCCAGCTATTATCGTTCTTGGTGTCTTCCTGAAAGAATGGAAAGCATCATACCACGGTGATGTAAACATACCCATGTTTATAGTGGTACAGTTTATAATAGCTGCACCTTGGAAACAGCCCAGATGCCCGCCAACAGATGAGTGAATAAAGAAGGTGTGTTTATTTTATATAATGGAGTACTACCCTGCCACAAAGAAGGGTAAGCGTGAGACATTTCTAGCCAGATGTATGTACTGCAAGACCTTACTCTTAAGTGAAATAAATTGGACACAAGTGTTTAAATACTACCTTGTTTCTCTGGTGTGAGAAACTGAAATAAGTACCAAAATGTGTAATAG